GGAGGCTGTCCTGGAACTAGCTCTTGTAGACCAGGCTGGTCTTGAACTCACAGAGATCCGCCTGCCTCTGCCTCCCGAGTGCTGGAATTAAAGGTGTGCGCCCCCACTACCCAGCCCATTCTGGACCTCTTGGCAGAGGATGCTGCAGCAAGCAGGCACAGAGTGACGGGCGCGGGGGTGGCTAGCATCCTGAGTACGCACACCGACTGCTTCTCAAGCAGTGGCTCCTGTGGCTTGCTAATGACCCACCTCCAGTGCTCAGAGGCATGTGTGCCCTGGCCATCTCCACTGCACGAACTCAGAAGCAAGGCAGACAGCGCTTGTGACCCACCCAGGGTCTACCAGTCAGTAAGGGTAATGCTGCTTGAAGCTGGGCTCTTGAGTGACACACACTCCTTTGTTCTAGTTTTTCTTCAAAAGTCCTTATCTCTGGACCAAGTTTTCTACAACCCCAGGAACTCGTCCCGACTGTGGCTGCTCCAGGTAGGACAGGCTGGCCCCTCTGCAAACTCTCAGCCACTTGTGGGGCCAAGAAAAAGGAAACAAGGGCTCCGGGTCACACTGGATGGGCTTCTAGGCCTCTTTGTGCCACAGCTGGCTGAGTGACCTTAGATAAGCTCCTCGCCATCTCTGAGCCTCCTAACAGCAGAAATAATATCCCTGCCTTGATGTAGGAGGTGAGGGTTAAAGGAAGGGACAAATAAGAGGGCCTCAGATGCAAGTCCTCTCAACCCTTAGCTCCTTTTCTTACTTCATCGCAAGAGGTGCCTGGAGGATAAACAACTAGAGCTCAGATGTTCCGAATCTCTTCCTGTATGACCACAAACACTACCCACAAGTGCTGGTTTTTAATTTTCCCCATCTAGAGAAAGAGACACCTTGATGGAACTACGTGCTTACACGATTGCAATCTTAGTGCACGTAAAGGGCCTTGGAAGGCCTGGTACTCACTCAGTGTGGGCCACTTTCATGTTGTGACTACCCCAGTACTTACACAGCCGATGAAAGCTAGGATCATGGACTGACACCAGCCAACCCGGCCTCAGCCTTCTGCCCTGTGCCCACAGAGTGAGTCAAAACACCTCCCTCTGACCTGGTGTCATGGAAACATCAAGTCTGGGCACCCACGACCCCGGCTGTGGCAGAGCTACCCCCATCGGTTTTTAGGTAAATTCCCACCTTGATGTCTACATCCATCTGAACATTGTAGACATCGTCTTTGGAAAAGAACGATCTTCTTGTGGCCCTTAGGTGAGTTCCTGCTTCAGTTATCTTCAGGATCAAACGTGCATCCATAAGCAAACAGGGAAAACCATAGCACAGGCTTCTTCCCCTTTTTTACCATGGCTGCCAGGTATGTGGTTTCTGGGTTCTGTGCCGTGTAGAAGTGATTTGCTCATTGAGGGCAGTGCAGCAGGAGTAAATCCTGGAGCTAGAGAAATTCAGATGGTTTCATCACTCTGAACCTGCCTCCTCTATAGAGAAATGAGAACCTGAGTTCTACCTTCTCCCGACTGAGTGAGCCGCACAGCTACCACACCTCATCTCTGAGGTTGTTTTCTTTCCCAAGAGGTTCATGGTCACCTTGGCAGGTGGTAGTGAGGACTCAGAGGGTGCTACCCAGCTGCTGGCACTTTGTTAATAGCAATTGATAAAATGAGGTGTTATGACCCTGAGGTTTGCAAATTGAGACTTTCTTTCAGTGCAGAGGACCAGATCCAGGGCCCTGTGCACGTCAGGCAAGCTCTCTGTCCTGGTGTTAGGGGATGAGAACTTTGCTCTGGAGCCTATGCCGAACAGGAACTCACAAGCCTCCTGCAACCTTCCTGTGGCAAGTGTAAAACAGTTTTGTAGCCCAACTGCAGCCTGGATTCTGGCTTCCTGGGCTGGTGGATGTGTCTGTGGTGGGCACCCCCAGCTCAGGTGAGTGTTTGCAGGTGTTCCTACTGCTGCCAGGGCTGGGCCTGTCAGAGCTGGCCACGCAGGCACAGAGCCAGGGCCACACCTTCCACTGCCCACTGCTCTAGGAGCTCCAGACTTTGTATAGTAAACCACGGCGATGCTCACCCAGAGCCTACAGCCCATGTGAGGGCAGCCGTCTCTGTGCTGGGTGGGGCAGGTGGCTGTGTGTTCAAGAGTAGCTGAATCGGAGCCTGTGCCAAAGCCTGATGTTATTCCACTGTGCTGTCTCCCGGGTCCAGTGGGGATGCTTCTGACCTGCCACTCATTCCTGTAAGCTCCAGTGCCCTGGCCCCCAGTAGTGCTGTCTTTTCTCACTTTTGAGGCACGCCGTTTAAAGCCGTTCTGACCTGGGCAGCAATCCCTACTCTCTTAGCAGCTGAATGCCTGAGGCAAGACTCTCCACTTTCAGAGGCTCTGTATGTGCAAGCTGTTTTCTTTGGTGTGGCATGATCCATCTGTCTGGAGAGGCAGGAGAGGGTCTCAGGATGCTATGGTCACAGAGCCCCAGGCATAGCGCATGAGCAGCACCCCCCCCCCATCCTCCTTGCCCTTTCATGTTTCTGCCCCAGGTCTCCTAACTCATCCTAACTCCTAACTCTCAGCTGGCTCTGCTGAGGAGCTATATTGGCAGGGACTACAGAAGCAGGGCCATAGGAGATCAGCATGGATGTGTGGCTTTTCTAGTCTGGGACTCTAGAATGGCCTACCACAGTGCACTCCCGCTACTCATTGAATTCTGGAAACCCATGGAAGCCCTCACAGCAAAGCTCCTCCCTGTTTCTCACCTCCTGCCACAGAAGTCTGCCTACCTGACCAAGTCCCACCCTCATGCAATATCTTAGTGTTTTTTGTTTTTGTTTATTTTTCAGAGGTGGGCTCCAGAGCCAAAGCAAATTCTAGAATGAGCAAATCAGCCTGTACTAGAGTGGCCACACCCTTGGTTATAAGACTAATTTGTGTTTTAATGCATTGCTTATTGTGTTTGCTTATTTTGCCCACACCTGTCACTCTAGATGAGCAGGCGGGACTACTGTCACACAGAAGCTCATTCCTTTGCAATGTTTTCCTTCCTCTCTTCTTTCTCGTTTGCTTCCCTTCCTTCTTTCCTGTCTTCTCCCAGCAGAGCCAGGCCTCTCTGCGGATATCTTATTCAATGTGCAGTGAGTGGGGCCAGCCCTGTGTGGGAAGCGAGGGATGAATGTGCCTCCCTGGCAGTGGAAAGGACAGGAAGGCAGTACGTGCTGTGAGGGTGTAGTTGAAAGACTGGACAAGATGCAGAGGGACCTCAGTGAATGAGCAATTACAGTTTATACCCCAATATAAGACAGTCTACAATCTGTCTAGACTCTAGATAGAGGGCCACCTCCATTCTCCCCAAGAGCCCATGCATGTAAAGCTGAATAGGAGAGAAGAGAGGCAGTCGGATGTCTACTTATAGGGTTAGTGTGTTACTTAGACATCCATATTTTAAGTTCATGTTTTTTAACATACTAATTTGGAACTCTGGATCTCCGAGAAATTCTTTGATCCCAGGTCTTTTCTGTGTGGTTTGTTGCTATGTCATCACGAAGGGGGCAGCATTTTCCAAAGTACATCTTCACAGGGATGGAGAGGTTGTCAAATCCTATGTGGGCACCTCCTGTACTACACCAGGACAGTAGGGGGCTTGGTGACTGCAGATAACCATCTGTGACCACAACTCAACCACTTGCTGGAGGCTCTGAAAGTGGCCTTTAAAAGGCCAGTGGACAGCAGCCTCCTACCCTGCTGCCACAGTCGTTTTATCTGAGTGAAATTCCTCAATTCCTTTTATAGTAATGGTGACCTCTATAAGTACCCCAGGCTCACAGAGTGAAGGCCACCCAGCTAACGGACCTTTCCCCCATCAGAGTTTGGGGTGAACACATAAATAGCACAATGCAGAGCAGGCTTGGACACAGCTTCCTGAAGGTGGAGGGTTTGAGGACACCTGAGAAGCTAAAGGCAGAGGCTCTCCTTGGAGCACCCCATTTAATTCATATAGCTTCAGAAGGAGCTGGCCCTCAGCACCTGGGAGATAGGTTTGGGTGTCTATTCTACTCATTGAGCCTCTTAACACTGTCTGTGACGTGGCACAGTAACCCTGCTTTATACAGGAATGCAGAGTATGGGAACTAGAGTCTGAAAGCAAAGGTTAGGGACAGGGTGTCCTCACAGTCATCACACCTCCCCCACCTTGGGGTTCCAGCCCGTGAATCTGATCAAGGGAGGCACAGGTTCGCTGACTTCAGTATAGGAGAGTAGCCAAGGGCAAAAGATTCTAAGACCTATGGGGTGGGTTAATCCAGGAGGAATGCTTATCCCACACACACACACACACACACACACACACACTACCCACCTCACACACAACCCCAGTCTCCCCCAAACCCACAACCAATGCTACCTGACACCATCAATGTTGTTGCTGGCTTTGATCACTGCATAATCTTGATTGCTAATCTTTCCTGCCTCTGTCCTGACTACTGTCCCTTCCTGGAGACTGTAACTGGGGACTCAGCACCGGGCCTGGTGCATAGGGTGTAGCCAGTATTTTAATTAAGGAAGGATAATAAACTAATGACTGAGGTCCACGCCCCCCACGCCCACCTCCGCCGCCCCCACCCCGCCCAGCATACTACCGAAGTCTCCCCTTCTAGGTTTCTGGCCTAGAGAATGGGGAAGTTCCTAGGCTTCCCAGCTCACGCTGGCTGAACTGCCACGGAGTCCTTGACACTGTCCTGCGCGACCTGACTGTGTGACCATCACCCCTGGTGTCAGGGCACCGCCTAGAGTGGCCCAGCGCCTGGAAGAGGCCTTGGCACCCAGTGACCCCTCCCGAATGGCAAAGAACCCGCGCAACCCGCGCGGGAACCGCAAGGACGGGAGGCCAGCCCCGCCTCTCCCACGCCTTGCCGGTGCAAACTTTCAAAAGACGCGGCGGTGGCAGCGGCCCCGCCCCGGCACGGTTAGCGGCGGGCGCGGGGGCGGGGCGGGCGCGCCCGGGCCGGTGGCTCCGCCTCCTCTCGCCGCCGCCCGCGCCGCCCATCTGCCGCCCGCCGGTCGCCGGTACAGCGGCAATGCCCCTCAGCCCTACCGCGGCCCCCGGCCCGCCCAGCTAGCCCCGCGCCGGGACTCTCGGAGCAGCGATGGGCAACACGGTGCACCGAACCCTGCCAGGTACGCGCGGAGCCGCGCCCCGAGGTGGCGCGGAGCGCTCGGTCCTCCCCGGGCAGCCCCAGCCGTGGAGCCCCGGGTACACACGGGAGTCTGGCTGTCTGAGCCTGATCCCCATAGCCGCACCCCTGCCGGGCCGTGCAGACCCCCGCCTGGTTCTCCTGGCCTTGGCCGTGCGCCCCTCGCCTTTGTTCCAGCCCGAGGTGGCTGAGGAGCGAGCCGCGGGCCATCGGGGCTTCCCCCGGCCGGAGCCTCCAGGGGGGCTGCGGGGCACGGGTGTCCCGGGTCCCCGAGCGCAGCCGGCAGGCGCCCCCACCACACGTGCTACTTCTTGGCTGCGTTCCCACGCGCGCCGGGCTGCGCCCAGCTCCGGTGTCCGCTCAGCTGGGGGTTCTGAGCCTCTGCTGCGGAGCGCATCGCCCCCTAGTTAAAAGCGCCCTAGAATTTCCCAGACCAGAGAAGGCTGTGGGCGAGGGGCGTGGGGCGGGCGTGAGGAGGCCGGGGGACACCACACCACGCTGAAAATACCTAATGATGGTGGAACAGGTCAGCTCGCCGAGGCTCTGTGCCACTGCCTGTCTGCAAAGAAATGTCCTCGTAAGGAAGGGCACCCCGATTTTACACAAGAAGTTGAAGCTCAGAACAAGAGAAATGACCTGATACCAGGCAGTGGTGGGAGACTGCATGGGCCCTGTCAGTCCATCTGCCCCGCCCCCCCTACTGCCCCAAGTCTTCAGAAGTGTTTGGGCATGAAGCTGGGCATTCGCAGCACTTTTGGGCAAAGGCTGAGTGTGTGTTTGGTGAGGGGTAGCTCAGAGAGAAAGTTGGCTGTAGGTCAGATTTAGTGCAGCCCGGTTGACATCCCCACAGTTGTCTCCTCTGGAAGGGATTGTCTGTGAAGGGCCAGCCTGAGGTCCACGGGGTTCTGAGGAAGGAGACAGCTCCTTCTACTAATAAACCCCTGGGCAGCTTTTACTCAATGGCTCCTACTGTCAGCCAGGTGGAGTCACAAGCTGGTCAGCCGCAGAGGTGGCATTAGAACGTGGGTCTGTACTAGAGTGACAACTGCTTCTTGTGTACATGGCGATTGCTAGGATGGGGGAGACCCAACCACCATCCCGAGGGACCTGAGGTGTCATCAGCGATGGCAGTCACAGAAGCCCATGGGTGAGACGCCGCTCCACTGCTCCATACCCAGTTTCTTAATCCAGAACGTCTGTACCAGTCTAGTTAGTTTTTAAAAAGCCATTCTGCCACCTGTGGGTCACACTTGGCGTAAGGGAAGGGACAGGCAAGTCTCATCAGGTGGCCACGCATTGCTTGAGACTCGCGCTGTGTCCATTCCTCTGGGGCCTGGTGCTGTGGGCGGGGCACTCTAGGCTGGGGGCTCAGGGTCAAGGAAGGCCATCCCATGCTGTATGTAAGTGTGGGAGCCCCCTAGTGTCTGAGGGACCAAGTGCGGGAGGAGGAGGCTCATCAGATGGCAGGTGCCGAAAAATGTGAAAGGGCTGTGTATTTTCTCCAGTCTACCTGCCACTGGCTTCTGGAACCTCTACACTCAGCCCCTCACACCTGGAATGTTCTTCCCTGTCCACTCAATGTCTCACCACCAAGCTCCGTGGTCACCGTTGGCGGGAGCCCTTCTGCGGTTACGCTCGGCCCTGTGGCCTGGCTTGTTCACACGACGTTGCTGCAATGTCACTGCTTCTTCTTGTGACTCTGTATGGGGTTCCATGAGGTCAGGGCCCGTGCCTTGGTCATCTCGTTCCCTTCCCTGCCTTGCCCATCTCGGAGCCTGGTGCCTGGCGCAGGCTCAGCACCGGGTGGAGGAGCACAAATGGAGGCCGCATCTCTGGCCGAAGGAACGCTTGGCTCGGGCTTGCCCCGAGGACACTTGTGTTTCCTTCTCAGGGAAGGGACATGTGTGTGGGGCTCATCCCGCAGGACTGGAAATAGAGAGCTGGCATTTGCTGAGCACCTGGATTCCGTGCCAGGCTCCCTACATGTGTGGCTGCGATCACACACCAGCACGTTTCTTAAGGCTGCTACGCTCCCAGCGGGCTGCCTGGCAGTCTCACTTTGACCCCCATGTGACTTCCCCCTTCCCTTCCCTCGGGCCCCTGCTCTAGACTGGGTCTAGACATTGTCATTCCTCCCACTCACCCCTTTTTTGCTTTGTAGTTCTCCTGAGCACACAAATGTCACTGTGTGACACATGTGTATGTCTGATCACCAGTATATGTTGAGTTCCTGGAGTAGGGGCTAGGTTGATTAATGAGTGAATGAATGGGGTTAATTCTCCCAGCAACCCTGCACAGCAGGGTCATTACTCCCATTTAATTGATGGAATATCGAGGCTCAGAGAGGTCAAATGACATATCCTTGCCTACAGAACTCCTTTAGTTGGCAGGGCCAGAATTGAAACCCAGGTTTATTTAGCTCCAAAGTCCTCAGTTATTCAACCCAGGCCTAGATAACACTTATTAAGTGCCCCCGTGGTTTAGATAACGTTTGTTGGGTATTCCACCTTGCACATGGCTTGCTACAGGGCACAATAAGGAAATGTCAAAGAGAAGTTCCCTTTGGTGGCGGGAACCCACGCAGCAGCTCTCTCAAACTGCACCAACATATTCCGATGGATACCCTTGACCCAGGAGTGAGCACGGTCAGCAGGAGACCTTGCATCTGCTAAGCTCCTACTGTGTGCTCCAGCCTCCCTTTCCAGCTGCAGTATAAGCCTTCCAGTTTAGAGGACACAGGGATACTGGATAAGTCCAGCTCACGCAGGCTCTAACCAAGCTGGGACTTAGCTGACTGAGATCCCTCAGGTTCCTAATGCCATGCAGTGCTCTTCACTTCACTGGCCTTCCCAAGGGAAAATAAACATATCACAGGTAGAAATGGGGAAGGGCAGCATTCCAGGATGGGGTAGGTATGAGGAAGAGTTCTCCCCTTTTCTCCTAGCCAGCACATTCTAGACCCTTCCCTGTGCACCTCTAGGGTTCACCCAGCACTGGTTGGATGAGATGCTGAATTCAAACTATGGGATTGGTTTAGTCATTAAGTTGGCCAGTGCTTGGCCAAGCCAACAGCTTTCAGAGTCTGTTCACTGATCAGTTGTGTGGGAGTTTTAGCTGTGGAGGTAGGCTGAGTCTATATGGGCCACCATGGGCAGGCTGGACCAGACCTCTGCTGCCAGTGTTCAGAGGGACATCTTTGATTTCACAGGCAACAAATGAAGGCTCAGAAAGGTCAAGGGCAGAGGCACCACTACAGGAGAGAGAGAGAGAGACAGACAGACAGACAGACAGACTTAGGCTTCCTAACCCACCACATAGCTTGCAGATGCTAAGTCTAGAAGGGGTGTACTCATACCTGCCTTAGATGATCCTTCCCACAGAGCCCCTCCCTCCTTCTTCCTAGACAATACCATCCTGGACCAGGTGCAGCCAAACGAGACCCTCCTAGACAAAGCAAACCTGTCTGGTCACGGAGATGATGTTCCCTGAGCGAGCAGTCACTGGTGTCCCTGAACCATGACTTTATCAGCCTCTGGGAAGGTAGCAGTCTTGGTCAGCATGCAGTAGCCAGCCAACAAGGGACAATGCTTTTCTCTTCGCACCCTCTGCCTTCTCTCATCTGAAGTTTGGAGCTGAGTTGAGTTTCCTTTGTCCTCTTGGCCATGTTTACCACCACCACCACCCAAGTCATTAGAATGTCTTTTGTTGTGTAGCTAAGCTGAGCCTCTCAGAGCCACAGTAGCTCCTTCAACTTCCCTGAGACCTACCTACATGCAGCCAACTAATGCTCAGGAGGGCTGGGCAAGACCCCTGGATGAGGTCCTGTAAGGGTGCTGTGGGCCGGGCTATGCCCACAGTGAGTAGAGGAGGAAGATGCAGGGCATCTCTTCTGGGATGGGATGGTGGTGGAGAAATGGTCTATGGGCAGAGCAGGCGGGCCTCTTCTGTTTTATCCTCTCTGGTTCCACTCTGCCCCTCCCCGAAATCAGGAAGGCTTCCTGGGGGTTACTCTGAAGGGAAGTCCTGCTGAGCACCTGCTTATGTGGCTTTATGGTTTGGTTACTCAGTAGCCACCAACACCTGTCATGTGCCAGGCATGAGATACAGTCTTGAATGCCACAGTCAGAAGGTCCACATGTCCCATAATGTAGAACCAGCCTAGTGCCACCCTATCCCCTAACCAAGCTGGGCCTCCAGAGTGCCTGTCCTTTGTGGGTTAGCACCAGCTGCTAAACGCTCTTTAAGGATACAGCATAGAAAAGGTACTGGCATGTACTTGTTACAAAAGGATTATTTTAAATATATCTTATTATTTTAATTATGCATTTGCATGCGTGTGGGATTGGGCACATGAGTGCAGGTGTCCTCGGAGGCCACAATTGTCAGGTTCCCTGGAACTGGAATTATTGTGGTTGTAAACCATCTGGTGTGAACGCTGGGAACTAAGCTCAGGCCCTCTAGGAGAGCAGCAAGTGCTCTTAAATGTTAAGTAGTTTCTCCAGTCCTAAAGATTTGGTTGTGTGTGTGTGTGTGTGTGTGTGTGTGTGCGCGCGCGCGTCATGTGTGTGTACCTCATGTGTGCAGTACCTGCAGAGACCAGAAGAACATTGAGAGCCCTAGGAGCTGAACTGAAATGGATATAATAAGCCACCTATTGTGGGTCCTAGGAACCAAACACTGATCCTCTGCAGGAGTAGTACAGACTTAACCACAGAACCATCTCTACAGTCCTGGGGGACTCTTTAGAGTCAGTGACTCACTCTGTGTGGTCCAGATTATCCTTGAACTCGGCAGTCCTCCTGCCTCTGCTTCCTAAATGCTAGGGTGCCCCACCACCTGTTCATGTGACAGGTCAAAATGTACCTCTCTGATGGTCACAGCCTGTGTTGACAGAGGCCACTTGGCTGCAGGAGAGGTGAGGGCAGAGCCACACTGCACCCCGGATCCTCAGCAGCAGCTGGAACACACGGGGTAACTCCCAGG